TGTGGAAGGGCACGTTCCAATAATCTCCCCGTCTGGGCTAGTCTGACAGAGAGGTACCTCTAGTTGGCGCAGCCCCTTCGATGTCGAGACCTCGAGAAACGAGTCAGCCTGACAAGCTGCCTTGTATTCTCGGGTCATCTACACTCTCTATTTGAGAGTCCCGAGATCTGGAGGTCGAGTCCACAAATACCTGGATGAGAATGCGCGGCCATTCTGTCCGCACGCGCGTCCGTACTCCGTACCCGGTACAGCATCAACTACGGGCAAGCACCAGGCTTCGTACGGGTTGCACCCATCGACGCTAGCTCCTTCAGCTGTCTACTAGCACCAGACCACTTCGTCATGTCAATGTGCGAGTCTTTCTTCACAATACGGAAGTCCTTTCCGTTACAGCCTGCTTCGCCCTACAAAAACTTAACAACAAGACATCCCCCTTAGGCCTGGATGCAATGGCAAGTGGCCATGTGGACAGCCGTGTGGCCTTTCCCCAAGTGGTCGGCAACCATTGGAATATGGGGAGCCCTCTCTGAGCAAATGTCAAATGTCTCAACATTGGACTGTTGGTGGGGGGCGGCTGTGCGGTGCTGCACGAGTCGAGTGTTGGAAGTGTGTATGGAGCCACCTCAGCCTGCTTATTCCAGTTGGCTATTGACACCTCAAGTCAATGCTATCATTGATGTCAAGTGTAATATCGAGTTTGCACATCCAAATGCCCAAGTGCTTGCTCCCTGTCCATTTTCTGCGACGGGCCAGTCCAGACTGCCTCGAATTGCCCACTTGGCGAGCCCACGCCGCTTGACTATCATCACAAACCACAATACCTCATTTCTGCTTGCCGTCATGTCTGTAATTCTTGGCGTGACTAGGGATTATATTCAAGCACCTCAATACTAGGCAGTTTAGGTACTCGGTAGATCGCCGACGTTGAACAATGTGGCCAGCTTGCTCCCCCTGTCAGTGCCCATCATGACCACCCAACAGTCCTTTGCTCGTGGCACGGCTTGTTCATCCCTTCTTTTGTTTTCACATGAACTGAAAATGAGGTCATGATTATTCCAAGAATTGCAAAGGGTCGCCGATTGGCGGCTGACATGCTTCATCGTCAGCACCCTCGCTACTTCTACCCTTCTGCCAATTTGCTCTGTACGTCCCAGGACGAGCGACCAGCCTCGGCCATGATTCCATCCGTCTTTTCATTTGACACCCACGTGCTGCTAGCTTCTGCAATTTGAGATGCCACAAAACAGCCACGCCGTCTCACCGGTTAATCGCTCGCCTCATTCAATGTTACCATGCGAGCCGCGGACCAGACACTTTCATCACATTCAGACAAGATTACAATCAACTCAACATCACCACTGGAGTGCGTAGTTATGCCTGAGGGCTGGGACCCGGGGTATGTTGCTTCTTCTTGTTTTCAGCTGCCATCTATTTTCGTCAATAGATGTTGCCACAGTTAGTTCGTCTCAATATAGCAACCGCAACCATAAATAGAATTCCAGCATGACTCACCTGTTGCTCAATCATCTTTCGACCAATTAGAATTGTCTCCTCCATGCTTCGCTGACGCTGCCAAAACCTGTGAATCGGGTGAGCAAGTGTGAGAGGGAAGCACCATACCCTTCAGTCATCACACAACTTACATTTCTTCAGGACTCCCATGCCCCCGGATTGAAGCCTGACGAGCCTCTTCCTCTAGGGCCTGTTTCGTAATTTTCTCTCCGGCCTCAACACCTGGTATGGATGCCTTCTCGGCGGCAGGTTGACCAATATTCTCCGCCAGCAGTTTCTTCTTCATCAAGTATCGCTCCTTTCGTACTTGCTGGATGCCGGGGCTTTCAACCTTGTTCATGACAAAGCGAACTGCCAGCTGAGTCAGAAGGTAAAAGTGCTCTGCCAAGAGGATGCTGAGCAACCCTCCCCAAGCAGTTATCTGAGACGCGGCTCCTCGCTTTTGGTCCTGCGAGCCACTGCAAAGAAACACGATGGCGGCGCTGGTTATGCTTCCAAGCCAAGCCAGAAACCCCATGGCATTGATCCAAGGACCGATGGAGTCGGATCTCCAAGGAATTGGCCGCTTGCAGCTAATCGCAATCTTCAGCCCATCGGAACGGAGCTCGACCCAGTTGTTCACGAGGAAGCAACAGGCTGCTAATGGCCAAGCTACAGAGAAAAGCGCCAAATAACCTAGTTAAAGAGTAAGAAGATTTATTCGGGTCACTGTTTGGCCGGTGCATGACACTTACCAAATTGCATAACCATCTCCCGGTAGTCGTCTGTAACATCATATACCTCAAGTTCACATTCGTCGCGGATCCTCCTCAAGAATTCAGCCTCTTCAGGGTGATCTTGTGCTTGCAAAGTTCCCTTTGATTTGAATTCCTTGGCCTTGGCAAAGGCTTTATGTTTTACATACGGAACAATGACCTCGGTTGCGAAATTGACGACCTGAGCTGTAACGGTGCAATAGAACATCTGGCTACTAATACGCCCAGGGTCAATGCGAAACTGTTGTGTAGGAAGAGGCTTGTCGCTAAAGGTAAGCGTTTGAGCAGTGCGTCGCCAAAAGTCAAGGAATGGTAGCAAGATGTTGCCAAAAGGGATATAAACAAAGCCAGTAAAGATAAGGGCCATGTAGGAGGTTATGAAATTGAGCACAAACTGCTTTTGGATGAGAGCAGCTTTGTGAGCTGCTCTCAGCCGTTAGCCATCAGTCCACAAAGCGAAGGCTATGCTGTTTGGGACCATACCATCAACAGTATCATAGTTTTCCTTCTCTGTCAAGGCATTGGCGGCGCTCATGAGAACGGCCGAGAAGGTAGGTGTGAATATGACTAATATCATAGTGGGCAAGAATCCCTGAATGGAAAATCAGTTTCACTTTTGCGAGTTTCACTTTTGCGATAGGAATAGATGCTTCCCCGTACTCACCAAATACTGCTTGCCTGGGCCGTCGTAGACCTGGTTGATAAAGATCTCCAGTGAGTTCGCAATAACTACAAGGCTACCGAGAACCAGGACGCAGGCAATGGCGAAAGGAATTTGGAGCAGCTGCGTCTTGAGTCGTTTCATATACGGATAGACCTTGACAGGCTCACCGGTTACGGCATCCTCGGCTTCATAGTCCCACTCGAATTGTGTGCGAGGTAGTTGAAGTGCAGATACTCCTCGCACGCCCCAGCGTACTGCCAGGTCAACTTCCTTCTTTTTCCAGTACTCTAGGAAAACAACCGTCCAAAGACCACAGCCAAGCCCGTAGACGAAAGAAAATTGTCCCAGCAGCACCCAGGTCCCCAGACCCAAAGCAGCGGGAAAAGCCAAGAATCTGAAGTAGCATCCTAAAAACGCAAAGTAAAACGCGACACTCTCTCCAAACTTGCAGCGAATATTTTCGAGGTCGCTGTCATCCAGCAAATATTTTTTGCTCCATTTCTGAATCCATGCCTTATTGAAGGGCTGGTCATGAATAGGGAAAACGTCGACTACGTACTTCCATTTGGAGCTTGCCTGACTGATTCCAGCACCACCTTCATTTTCAGGTCTTGCAATGAGCTGGTAGACCAATCGTAGCCGCTCTGCTTCCGTTACGGGCTCATCCTCCAAGGCTTTGGTAATATCCGAGTTGGGGCCCGATGTGCGTACTCCTTGAAGCCAGTCGTGCAATCGACCACGGTAAACCTGTTGTCCTAAAAGCTCTGTGGAGGCCATTCTGACGAATACAAGCAACGAGCCAGGATCCCCATTACGCACTTCAGCAGCAAGGCCTACCTTGGTCAAAGATTTGATGAGCTGCACAAATCCTGCCTCTGCTTCGTCGCGCTCTTGACGTAGGTGAGTATATAGGCGGAGAAAATATCATCATGATGTCAAGGTTCAGTTGGGCGTACCTTCAGGCGGAACCTTGTAGTGAATTACATAGTCCACGCTTGAGGAAAGGTTAGCTGCAAGGCTTGATGTCAACTGATGGCTGTAGACGGACCCAAAATTATGTGAATCCTTCCCGTTCCCCTGTTTCCCGTACAATTCTCTTAGGCTCGCCATGGTATCAAGTTGGAGTAGACAGGCTGTTGGTGAGAGAGCCAAGCTCTAGGGTTGTGGAAAAGGGATGTGGCAACCGATTCTCTGGTAACAAAGGACATCAATTTGGCGGAAAGTACGAAGCCCAATCTGGCAAGAAGTTGAGCAACCACAAGATCTCGACAAGCTATTTGCCTGGGCGACGAAGGCGATGAGTTGTTACAAGTTAGAAAATGTGCGCGACGTCAGGGAGCGCAAAGAGGTTGAACTCGTTCAGCGGCGGCAAGCTCCAACATTGGAATCAGGAAAAGTGACGAAGCTCCAGGGTGGCCCGTGCTTTCCAGATTGCCGACCCACCGCGTCAACGGTACTCTTCAGCTGAGCAGGGACTTGTCACTGTTCTCACGGCTAGTATTTCAAGACTGACTTTTCAAGGTGGAATCCCGTCTCCGGGTTTGCCCTCGAGAAGCAGGGGCATGAATTGAATCACTTTAAGATGAAGGTGAACAGTGTCCCAATATTTCGGATGGGTTGCGCAGTACGGGCGAAGTTCTTGCCGTACGTACCTTAGGTACTAGCAGTCCCTCCGCTGACCGGAGTACTCCGTACGTACAGAGACAGTGACGTCGTCGTTTGGCGGCCCGAGGGCTCGCTGATCATTGATCGGGCTTGGCAGAATTGCTGCACAAGTCACTCCTCCTGCATAAAAGCCTAAAAGGCGTCAAGCCACAAGTGCACATTCCCGGCCAGCCAATTGCATGTTGGCTCTCTCTCTCCAACATCCAGTCAAGCTCCAGCTCCAAGTTACTCCAGACTCAAAAAGTCCTCGCGTGCCGTTCAGGCCCGTCGGCACTCGACGTTTAGTTCTTCATTTTATCGTCAACTACCCGGATCGGTGGCCATCCAAGCATCGCAGACGCCTAGATGGTGGCCGCTCGCCAAAGCTGCGCCTCCTGCCGTCGCCATCCATTGCCGTCTTCATCATGGGCCTCTTGGTCTGGCTCGGCCTCCGTCGCAGCAACCAGTGGGAGAGCTTGACGGTCCTGGACCACCTCATCGACTCGCCCCTCACCTTCTTCACCATCAACTTCTACCATCTTGTGCTATTTCTGAGAGGCACACCTTTCCGCCCGCCGCGGCACCAGGCGTCAATACGTGTGGTGTGCATCTCGGACACGCACGACCAAATCGTGGACGTGCCGCCCGGTGATATTCTCATCCATGCTGGCGATCTTACCAATGCCGGCACCGCCGCCGATATACAGAATCAGCTGGACTGGCTGAAAACCCTTCCCCACGCGGTCAAAATTGTCATTGCTGGTAATCACGACAGCTACTTCGACATCAGGAGCCGGTGTGATGATGACCGGAGGCGAGGTGCTAGGCTAAATCTCGACGGCCTTACCTACCTCCAAGGAGAGATTTCCGTTCACGAAATCAAAGGCAGAGAGATTTCAATATTCGGCGCCCCAGATATTCCCGAGTGTGGCCCCAAGAGCTTTGCGTAAGTCGTCCATCTGTAAGACGGGGAGCCAAATGGTATCCATGTCAGTCAAGTCGTAAATTCCTCCCCGAACTGACAGTGATGATGACTAGGTTTCAGTACTCACCCACACGGCCTCCTTGGCTAAGCAAAGTACCTCCTCAGACGGACATTTTAGTCACTCACAGTCCACCGGTAAGCCCTAGGAGCTTCATCAATGCGCCGACAGGACGAAGCATGCTGACATCAAGGCTCATAGAAACACCATCTTGATCTGGATCTTGGCTGCCCTCACCTATTAAGAGAAGTATGGCGTGTGAAGCCTAGACTACATGTCTTTGGACATTGCCACTGCGCCTACGGCAAAGAGTCTGTCTACTTTGACGATGTGCAATTTGCTTATGAGCGCCTTCTCTCTCGGCCGAGACGCGGCTTCTTCTGGGACTTCATTCCCAATCAATCCTGGGTCGACATGTTTGAGATTGTCTTTCACGGCATTCATAGCGTCCTGTGGAAATGGCTCATGAGTGGCCCGGGAAGCAACCACGGCAGCCTGATGGTCAACGCCGCTCAAATATACAGAAATTCCGGAAAGACTGTGAGCCGAGCCGTTGTCGTAGATATCTAGACAGGACGCATCCACTTGGGAGCGCATGTCACGTCAACCTTGCACCCGGGCCCCTCCTTGGGTCCTTGGGGGGGGAAGAGCACAAAAGTTTGAATAATGGACGCCGGAATATCATGTAAATTGCACTGAATATTAGCGAGGTCTGGGAATATTAATCATCAAAACGGAGTACACAATCTCAGGCGTCTTGTTGCCATTTCATATATTATTTCATTCATTCACTCTTCATACTGATTTCTCTATAGACTTCCTAAGAAATGATGTACGCTCAATCTCGTATCTCGTTACGTATCAATGCAAATGAAAAACTCAACTGATCGCCGTCAAGCCAATGAACAATGTCGCAATTCGCATCTCGAGTCGTCAATAAATGCAAAGCAAAGCAGGCGGTAAATACACCACATCCTCCCATATGTAAACATCAAAACATCAAACATTGTTCTTCGATCTTGACTCTTTTTTTTGTTCTTTGTTCAAACTTGCTTGAATCACAACAGCATAGCAACGACCAAGATTACCAATCCCAACGCAATGCCTGGCTTCCGACTCCATGTCTTGCCAGTGCCGGCAGTAACCACTGATGGCTGGGGAGTCTTGGCTTCCTGCGAGGCGCCAACCGGGGGAAGAGTCTCAAATCCCGAAGGCTGGACCCCGTAAGGATGAGTGATTCGTGCTGGAGGTGGCGCCGCAGGTGAAGGGGGAGCGTGCTGAATCTCTCCTGGGGTCCCAACTGGTGCGGGCGAATCGTTACCTGAAGACTCGGGGCCATCAACCTTGGTGTCTTGGGCTGATGGTGGTGCCGGTTGAGTATGCTTTGGGTCCTTAGCAGGCACAGGAACCTCGATGTCTGATGGCGCAGACTGATGAGGGTTGTTGGTAACCCGGGCTGGTGCTGGAGCGGGTTGAGTATGCTTCGGGTCCTTGGCAGGCACAGGAACCTCGATGTCTGACGGCACTGGCTGATGAGGGTTGTTGGTAACCCGGGCTGGTGCTGAAGCGGGTTGACTGTGCTTCAAGCCCTCGACGGGAACAGGAACCTCGATGTCTGACGGCACTGGCTGGCGAGGGTTGGTAGCCTGGGCCGGCGGTGCAGCTTGACTGTATTCGGAGCCCTCTACAGGCACAGGAGCCTCAACGTCTGATGGCGCAAGATGAGGAGGTTTGGATTGCTCTGCTGATGGCGGAGAAGGAGGGGTAGAACAAGTCGGGTGAGCCTCTCCTTCGGTACACTCGCAGTCCTCAACCACCACATTCATCCGGTCGACCGTCTTTGTAACGGTCTTGCCACCGACAGGAGAACCATCAGGACGCTTGTCCGTAACGAACTCGACATTGGAAGGGGCAGCAGTCTCGAGAACGCGATCAACAGTCTTGTCACCCGCATGAGAATCACCAGGGCGTCTGTCAGCGACGAACCCATCCTTCTCCGGGTCAGAATTCTCCCCCGTGGGAATAGGCTTTCCAGGATCCTTGTCCCCGGCAGGCTTGTCCTTCGATGGGACAGAGGTACCCTGTGTAGAAACAACGGTCGACGTCTTGTCAGCCACGGAGGGTTCGCTAGGGCTCTTGTCCGCAACCATATCTGCCTTGGACGCGGCAGCCGTCGCCTGCACCGGAATAACAGTTATTGTCTTGACTCGCATAGTTGTAGAATACGCAGTAAATGTACGCGTGATATTGTTTCCGGCCATGGGCGGTGAAGGCGGAGGCGACGTTTCGTCCTTTACGAGTCCATAGACGCTAAGAAGAATAGCCCTTTCCATGCGTGAAACGGGGCTTCTCTTGAAAGGCACATGGAACCTCGTCGCCAGGGTGGAATTCTTGCCAACCCCCCCAGTCGTCGAGTTTCTGAATCGCTGGCCCGTGGCAGTCGACCTGCTCGCCGCGACGCCAGTTGACGAAGCAATGTTCTCGAAGCGGTCGTTTGCAGGGGTAGAAGTGGTATTGGCGAGTTTGCCAGGGCTCTTTGCCAGTCCACCGCAGTATTGGACATGGTTGCCCGGGCAAGGGTGATCACAGATATCACCGTTCTTGGTGTTTGCCGGGCGGGTATTGGCGTCGATTGAATCTGCGCAGAAGCATTGCGTGTCGTATACGCCTGAGAACATTGAGCCGCGACAGAGCTGTACGCATAGATCGACAGTCATGTCTCTGCTGTCTTTGACTTTGCGAAAGGTTTTGAAGTCGTCGCTCGAGCCGTAGCAGCCTAGGTATGCGAAGTCGCCCAGCTGTACGGGGTTCGGGGGCGCTGGGACCTCGCTGGGTATAGAGATGGGCGAGGACGCAGCGTGGGGTCTGGGGACCAGGTTTGTATTTGTGAAGGTGCCGCTGGGGACAGACATGAGTGAAGAGATTGCGTGTCGGGGAACAGTGGTTGTATTCGTAGGAATGCTACGTCGAGTAGATCTCAACGAGGACGTTGCGTATAGTTGGGCGTCCGTTGTATTCGCAGAACGGCTGCTGTGAGACGATCTCAACGATGACGTCGTATTAAGTCTGTAGACTGGTGTTATGCTGGTGGTTGCCTTTTGAGTAGTAGAGATGTAGGATGAAGTCGCATTCACTCTGTAGACCGGTGTTGTGGTCCCGGCAGTAGCCTCCTCAGGAGTAGGCTCATAGGACGAGGTCGTATTCAATCTGTAAATAGGCATTGTGCCGGCGGCAGCGTTTCCACGACTAGGCTCATACGATGAAGTCGTATTCACTCTGTGAATGGACGTTGTGCCAGCGGCAGCCTTCTTAGGCGTAGACTCATATGGCGAAGTCGCATTCACTCTGTAAACGGGTGTTGTCTTTGCCGCAACCACCTCAGGAACAGACTGATAAGACGAAGCGGCATCCACGCTCAAAACGGAGGTCGTGTTCCGGCCCTCTACGGCAGTGCGAGTGGTGCCATGTTGGCGTCTAATCGTGATAGTGGTGGTAATGGTTGTCGTGCTCTTCACCCGGGTCAGGGGCTCCGTGGCAGACGAGCTAGGAGAACTCGAGGAATTCAGCACATCGATCTTCTGGTAGGCCTCAATATACCTGACATCCCAGTACGCGTTCGCGAAAGCCTCCGGGTTATTGGCAACGTATTCGCTGCACGTCGCCGCATACTTCGCGCAGCCGTCGGATTTCCCCCAAATCGCGTTACCCCAATCACCGCAAAAGTTCTAACATGCCAAGTCAGTCCAAACCGTAACTTGAGCCACCCAAGGCTTTAGGTGTATCAATTGTCAAACTCACAATATTTATAACCAGACTCATGTCCTTGAAGAAGTTGTCGACGTCACAACCGCGGCCACCGAAAATCGCATCCGGCAAACCCCAGCCCGCCGTATCAGGCGTCTTGTTAGTGATATCCTTGGGGATTTTGCTTCTCGCAAAGTGCCATATCTTGATTAACTCATCATCCCACTCCATGGCGTATACGCCCCCGTTGGCGGCGTTGAAACCGTCCCCGTACGCAGAGGTGTCGCCCGCCGGCGAGGAATATCCACACCCGACATTGTTACTTCCGACGTTGCAGTCAGTATCGCGCTGGACGCCTGAGAATTCGCCCATGAGGCTCTTGCTTATGGTACAGCCGGCTACTGTGTGAGCGGACAGGAGGTTGCTGCGCTGGTCGTTTGCGCCTTCGATAATGTCGACCTCGCCGCCTGCAGGCCAATTGGGACCGTACGACCAGACTTTATTTTTTTTGTGGCGCAGTTAGTTATTGATGGTCTGCCATTAAGGGGTAACGAATCTGGACTTACATGCTGGCCAGAGACCGCATTGCGAGGGAGGCATGTGTAAAAAGTCGGCAATAAAGAGGCCATGATTAAACGCCTCCTTGCTTTCAAGCCGGATACTCGGTCGTCCAGCGGTCAGGGAGTACATATTCGTGCTGTCGACGCCTAGTCTCACGACTCCCGTTTTTTCGTCGACAGAATAGAGACCCAGAGCTTCGGCATTCCGACGGCTCTGGTAGGAAACATATCCGTGAGAGGGATCGGCTCCGTCGAACCAGTTGAATCCCGAGAGGAGGGACTCCCCGGCGTACGAAGTAGCTAGGGCGTAGGAAGCCATGACAGCCAGGTATAGTCAGTCACGGTTCTGTCCCAGCAGTTTCAAACTCGTTTGCTGAATTTCCTTTGGATCTGGTTCAAGTGTTCCAAAATGGAAACAAAAGGGCGTTGTGAAGGTATGAAGAATCTAGAAGGCGGGGATGGCTCAGACAGGTCACTTATATAGACTGTAGATTCTGCATTGTATAATTCAGGAGGCGGGGAAGATTGCGAAGATTCTGTTTCGCCCAGATGATAATGAAGGCAATATACGCGAGCCATGGTGGCTCGTCTTTCTTCAGCTTGGGTACTACTCTAAACCACGAGGTTGGCAGAAGGGACTGCATTCCAGAGGCGTCCAGGGACTGAATGAGTTGCCGGACTCCATTAAGAGAGGTCCCTTGACGTGTCCAAGAGAAAGACCCTGACTGTCTTATATATGGACGCCACAATAGTCTTTGTCTCTGCCATTCTCGGCAACGGTGCATTCCAGAACGCCGGGGTCAAGAGTCAACGGCCCGGGATGCCCCTGGCGGCAGGACAGACAATCTCGCGCATTGAGGCGTGTGAGAATGAATCCCCGGATAGATCATGGCCATGTTCCGCCACTCTCTGTCTCTCGCTGAGCCCCCAGTCAGGTCATGTCGTTGACATCCAAGACATGTTGCGGAGCAAGTCGCATTCCAGAAACTCGAAATGGATCCACGCCATTGGTCAGGGAACCGGTTCCACATGCCGTTGCAGGGCTGCGAACAATGACTTTGACCAAATCCGGAATTCCCGACTTCCAAGAGTTTCAGTCTCACAAATGCTTTGCCGGCTTTTTAATTATTTGTCCGCTGACGTACTTCCTTTGCGCTCGCCTGCCATTTGACTGCATCTTGTGCCCCTCATCATCATCATGCTTCTAATTTTACATTACCCCGTGTCTACGCCAGAGACATTTCGCTCTCCGCCTTCCATTTCCGCTGAAGACGAGACGCCCCCAATCAGATTTATTCTCATATCATGATCCTTCGCAGACCTTCGGTTCCGCCAAGGACGCGCTTGCCAGTAACCGCACACCTGCCAACGCCGCTCTCCCACTTGCCTTTATGCTTTTCCATGAAACTCTCCTGCTTGTCGTGCGTCCCCTCAAGCCATTTGTGAATGCACGTGTAACAGTACACGACGCCTGTTTGGCAGGCTGTCGGGGTAACGATATCGTCTTGGCAGATTGGGCAATGCGAGGTATCCTTGGGAGTTGGCACCACATAGATGGGCAGCATAGATGGCGTGGCAATCGGTGCGTCCTCGGCGGACATTATTTCATCACGGCCGTCCTCGGCAGTCTTCTCAGCCTTGGCCTCTTGACTCGCAGACGAGTTGGATTTCTTTGCGACCCCGTTTACAATGGGCGGCGGGAGGTCAATGTTCTCGGTTGCCTTGCGAGACAACTGCTTGGCAAAATCTGATTGGTACCACCATTCCAAGAACTTGAGTGCGAAGATGCTCATGGGCAAAAGTAGTGATAGGCTCGACAGCACTTTTGAACCCAGCTCGCTCGGTGAGAAGATCGATCGTGATCCTGGTCGATTGCCAGGTTTAGGTTGCGAGAGCGCGTCGATAGCCTGGTAATCGGCACCCGTCATTCGGCGGAGTCGAGTTCCAATCAGCCACATGAGAGGGTTGTGGTATTTGGTCCTGTCAAATAGGTAACCAAGGTTGAAAACCAATATGGCAAAGTAGTAAGCGGCATTTACGCTCGGGTATATATTCATCAAGAACCATCGGTAATAATGCAGGATCCTGTCTTTGACGGTGGGGTTCTCCGGCATTCGAGTATAGGCTGAGCCAAGCAGCGCTCTTGGCGCGTTAACTTCGTAGCCTTCGTCCAGCTTGCGCTTCAAATACGGCACACCAACAAGCACGGCCAGGTTCTTCCAAACGTCGCTGGTGGATAACTTGAGCGTCTCACGGACCAGATTTGGAGCCGATATGCTCGCCCGAGGTATCTCACCCCGTAGGGCCTTTTCCCGCTTAAGCCCATAAAAGTTTTCGGTAAAGGATCCGCCGCGGGTACGCAAGTAGTGTCGCTCAACGACGAGCATGCACAAGGCGTAGAGCTCGTCAAAGGAGTTGAGTATGCGCAGTAGATAGCGGGGATGTCTCTGTGTCGCGACTGTGAGGAGATATCGTAATGTGGGCGGCAGCAAGCCATTGAGTTGCTGCTCGGAGAGAACCTCGAACAGTGACGGCTTGTTGTCGTCAAAAGTACCCCGAAGGGCTGTGACGAACTCCATCTCGGCTGCCCGCGGATGTCTCCGATGGGACTTTGGCCGGGTCCGTGAAAGGCCTTTTATGCCTGACGCTAGAGAATGGCGGTTGTCATAGATGGCACAGCACCGTCTCGAGCTTCAGAGGTGACGTTGATGAGACACGACGCGAAACGTGCAGGTATCGCGAGCGTCTGGGAAAGGGAGAAGCAAGTTGGGAGCTTACTGTGAAGCGATCACAAGCAGCAGTTGTTGTGGGTCCGAGCCAGTCAATTGGCAACGACGGCATTGGCCAGGATGCGCCGCTTCGTCGGGACCCGCCATGTGAAGGAGCCTCGGCAATGTTGCGCTTACCCCAAGGTTTTTGCCCGGCTCGACTGCGGCCACGCCGTGAAGGGTAGCCGCACGCGGCAGACGGCACGCGGGGGTTCGGGGACAAATAGCGCGGTGCTCGGCCCTTCTTCAGTGAGAGCTTGACCGCTGGAGCTGCCAACCAATGCTCCTCCAGCCCAGGCACAGTGGCCCAGGCACCTGGCGGCTCTAGCAAGTCTCATTACTTCCATCAATGCTCAATGCTGTGCTAGCGTACCTATTTGCTACTTGACTCCTCTCAGTCTTTGGTCATCCCTCCGACAAGACTCATTCCCGTTACTATTCCTCAAATCTACGCCATTGGAATTATTTTCCGTCGGCGTCAGCTATTCAGTAGACTTCATTCCTAGTCGAGCATTGGGATATTTAACTGCACCTTATACCTCGTATACTTGACAAAGCGACACAACCCTTGGTATTTCTTGACCAACATTGGCCTTCCCTCACTCTCGCTAAGCAGTCGTCGGCTCTCACAGCAACATCCACCACCATGATTGATAAAAAGTACGAGGATCTCTACGACGACCCCCTGGAGCGAGCCAAGGCATGGCTCACCAAAGACGACGATGACCACTGGAAGGCCGGAGTAAGCACGCAGTCCACTCGCAGACCAAAACTCCCGTTCTTTGCAACCATGACTAACAAAAACCGTCCCCAAGGAATGGATGTCCAAACTCCTCCCCCATATGGCCGTCTCGGCCGCAAATGCTGATGCCGCAGCACCCTCCGTCACATTTACATTCACCTGTCTCGAAGACCACTGCAACCGCCTGGGCAACCTACACGGCGGCGCGGCCGCCACCCTCTTCGACCTGTGCACCACCATCCCCCTGGTTCTCATCAGCAAGCCCGGGTTCTGGCAGTTCCTCGGCGTCACTCGCAACTTGAACGTGACTTATTTCCGGCCCGTGCCCGCGGGCGAAGAGGTCATCATTGAGTGCGAGGCGCTGCAGGTTGGTAAGAGGCTGGCAACCTTGAAGGGTGTCATGAAGCGGAAGCGCGACGGTGCCATTGTGAGCATTGCTGAGCACTTGAAGGCAAACATTGATCCCGAACCAAAGGTCTGAGTAGAGCTGGCCTTGGACGCTGCGCCTATAGATTGGTGTATAGACTGCTGGAGACCACTTTATATAAAACGACACTCAGATGTTGCCATGATTAATAGATGATATTTTTCATTCCTTGAATGAACATAAACCGTGCCCTAAATAGACAGGCATGAAGGCCGACGCTTCATATGCCCACACCACCACCATCTAATATACATGATTCATTCAAATCATCGCCTGGTCCATGTAATCCCGCTTGCCGTAGCCTACACGGTACCGCCGCCGTTCAGAATAATACAGTTTCTCATCAAATGAGCCCCTTCATGTAGTAAATCCCATCTGGTATTGTCAAACGAGTCCCGCAGCACCACCAGCAATGCCGTATTATTGCTGATACCCTGCATGGCTTGGAGCTCATCTGGATCTGTAATGCTTGCGTACCTTAGTAAATAGTGCCTCATTTGCTGCTGGTTCTCCTCTGCAGTATTGTGCCTCGCAACATCTCCACAAGGTCCTTCTAATGCATAGCCGTAGCACCATACCACAAGAGCAGCAAAGTAAAGTACCCACGGCCTATTCATGAGCACATCGTAGCGTGTTTCGTAGAAGCCTTCAGGCCAAGGGCTGGCTGCATTCATGAACGCCGCCCCATCTGGTAGCAGGACTGAACTTAGAAACTTCAACGCGTAGAATGTAGCGTCACGGGCCTTGGCAGATGGGGCCCATTTCTCCTTCACTCGTTTCTGAGCGCTACTCAACTCCTGTGCGCCAATAGTTCTTCCAAGGAGCCTTTTAGCACGGGCAAACATTTGGCAGTCAACGATATCCGCATGCATCGCCATGTGGGCTAAATGATGCAGTACCGTACGGCTGCCAAACACGATGTGGGCTTCGTTTCTGGTGCTTCCTTGGCCGTAGGGATCGCTAGAAGGCCCGCTATCCTGAAGCTCTTTATCAAAGTCGCTCTTCCAAGAGTCGTATGCTTTTGTCAACCATGCACGCCACCTATCGCGATCCTCCAGCGCCTGAATCACTCCGCGACCGAGGACGTTGACCTGAAGATCTCGCTGTTGCATATGATACGTGACACTCATGAGACCAGCCATGAGAGCGGTTCTACCAAATGACGTTGTCTTAACTTCCTGATGACTCAGAGTGCGTTTGAGTCCCTCAAGGAACGATATTGGCTGTATGCCTCTAGCATTGAGGCTTGCTTCAGCCCTTCCTACCTCGGCACTGCTCCTGGCTCTCCACAAAGACTCATCATAGGGCAATGGAAGCCTCATCTCGTGTGTTACCATCACGGCCGAGTGACCAAACATGGCGGCATGAGTAGAATCAATGATGAAGGCGGCGAACGCCGCTCGTCTGGTAGCTTCATTGGTGACCCAATGGTTCCACCGTTCCTCCGGCGTTTGGCCGACTCCCGGCACTTTTTTCGATCCATTTAGCGTTTCTCGTGAGTTTGGAGGCGAGTTCATGGAGGAATTTCCAATGAGTGATCGTCCACGACGCATGAGAGTAATCATGGTGGCATGGTGAATGTGGGCGCGTTCATGCAACTCCCTCGTTGAAAATATCTTCTCGTACAGCTCCAGCAAAATTAGTGTCTGGAAAACCCAGAGCTTTGCTGGTGGTCGGAAGTTTACATCCATGAAGACCTCCCATCTCAAATGTCTAGCGATAAAATTTGAAAGTTTAGCGCCTGCTGTCAAGACCTGTTGACCATAGGTTCTATCCAGACATGCGGCACCAATAGTCATCATTGCTAGGAGCAGGAGATTGGGAGTTGTGTCGGAAGAGAAAGTCGGTCGATGCAAAATCGGGAGTTGGTCACTGAAGTGGTACCAGTAGGAGCCAAGATATGCCTGCATCATCCTACAACTCAGCATATGGTTGTCTTGTTCGCGGTCCCCTTCCAAGATGTTGTCCCGACTTCGTTCTGCGGGGGGTACGTCGTGTTCATGGAAACGATCTTTGATGAAGTCAAAAATCTCTTGACTTCTTTGGTCTGATATATTGGTCTCGGGAGAATTTTCGTCAAGCAAATTGGTTACCGACATGATATGCTGAGGAGCACTTGGGAAAGGTCCAATCTGCGACATGCCATTGACAGTGAATGGTGTAGAGTAGTGCGTGTCCTGTAATTCTCCATACCTTCAAAACAAGTTAGCTGGGCAACACATTATTATCTTGTTAGCTTTTAGCTCACTTTAAGACAGGACCTTGAAGTCCAATTCCAGGAGGTGAGCCCTGGGAGGGAAGCGAGTTGAATAAATAAGCCATGAAGTCCTCTGGCATGGCTACATAAGGCGTCTTGCTTAGACTCCCATCGTCCCCAAATACTGGCCCAGCACTAAGCATTGTCATTTGATCAAGGGCAAATATATCCGCAGGGTGACGTGACGCATCGTGATGTTGTGTGGATTCTCTTCTATCGCATTCTTGACTAGAGGCATGCGAGGTCGAGCCCCTATTGCTCGACGGATATTGTGTATGTGACATGTCTAGGTGTAATGATTGGGGTGGTGATGTGAATGTCGAGGGTTGAGAGAGCATGTTGTGCTGCATTTGCCCATGATAGTATTGGTTCGCGCCGGACACTGGAGGTGACGTCAATTTGCTGGGTGTCAAAGTTTCTTGGTTAGTATTTTGACCGGGCCTGATAGTTGAGCGTCGGCTCTTTGATATGGGCCGTGGCTCGCGGATGTCATATCCGCGGAATAATTGTACCTTAAACCAGATGATGTTGTGATACTAACTGGAGTATAAGGACTTTGAGACCGGTCTTCGATCAATTGAGGCTGCGTTTGGTGGTGGCCGCCAATGGCTGCAGCCGAATGGGTTTCGGAAAACGGCGGTGTTGGTTTAAAATTTACTTCTTGTGGTATTTGACCGCTGAGATGTTCATTTGGACCTAGTTGGGAACCCTTAGCGGCATGACGATCCGTGTGCCGTTTCAACAAATCGGCTCGAACAAAGGCACGCGAACAGCCTGCGTATTCACAGTGAAATGTTTGTTTGGAGTTGTGGTTTAACTGGTGTCGGTATCTAAATTAGAGTCAGACGGCTCAAACAACACAGCTAGTACAGAGATTGAGTCTAGATGATGCTTACAAATGCTCAGCTCGTGAGTAGCTCTTCCCACAACCCTCAGCGAAGCATTCGAATCGTTTACTCAGTCCCTTCCTACTACGTCTTTTCTTTCGTGGAGCCCCTTCAGGCGTCGACGTCTCTTTATTTACACTACCTGATAGACCAGCAGTACTATCAGTTGGCCATTGATATTGTGCTTGGTGAAACGGTATATTCGAGCTAATAACTTTAACTGGAGAATACTGGCAGCCGTCAAAACTAGAACCTATTGTGTTGGAGCTCGTTGGAGATATCGGGAAAGCCGATTCTGCGTCGCGTATATGCGAAGGCATCATGGGGAGCATTGAGCTATTGAGTCAAGACTGGATAATTTGACGCGACGAATATTGTCGAAGGTGAGAAGACTGTTCAGTACGAGAGCTACCGACTGGTCTGACGCTATCAACTCGCCACAACAGAAGGATACTGATAGGCGCCTAATACGGTTCTGAAATGCCAGTTTGACAATATCGCGGCTGAGCATTTGTCACCTCGGCCGGCGGCAGGCTACTCGGACCAAGACCATCAACAGAGGGTACTGTAGTGGAACTCTGATATATGGTCACTGCCGGCAGTGTCAGATCCTAGGCTCAGAAGTCACACATGGTCGCTCAAAGCACCATTCTGCGTGGTTATGGGCGAAGAGTGCTTTGATTGTGGCGTCTGCTGAGCTAGATACGACCTAGATGCTCCAAAGTTAGCAAAATGCTAGACAATGGTTCTTTTCTTTAAGATGTGGTATATGATAAACTGAGATACGGGATGAAGACAAAAAAGGAGCAATTATTCACACTGCTGGCTGAAGATAAGTGCATAACAACAACCACAAGGTCTGTGTAATATCTTGTTGCAAACTTGCAAAGGTCCATGAGCCGAATATAGCTTCAGGACTGCTCTCCAACCAACCCTGGCTGCCCCTCTGGCTCCCCGCCTCTACATCTGATATCGCACCCCAATCAATGTACTTGGTGTACTTTTTTTGGAGGTGGCTCGATGAGTTTTGCGGTCGTGTGCTTTTCCAGGTTTGAAACAGACGGAATGGTGTATGCTCGCGTTGAGATGTTTGACACCCGAGACAAAATCTAAGACAGGCTGTAGTGCCAGAGCAACAAGAAACCTTCACGTTAGACTTACCACACATGCAAGTAGAGCGGCTTCCAAGACGTCGCAAACCAGGCCAACAGCTATCTAGTGGTAAAAATGTTGTAAAAAAAAAATGATGTCTTGGAAGATCGCGACGATGGGAGGGCCCCGACGAAATAGAATGCAGACTACACATCCATGCACAGGTACTCCGAACTCGTACCGTTGTTTGATGACAGGAAGTGAGCAACCAGGGTGCGGGCGGAGGATGAGATTGCCAGGAGTAAAGACATGTCGCCGCTGGCCAGACTCGGGCAACTCACTGTGGGGAATGGGGGCCAAGAATAACGGCTTGGGACGACGGACATCCGTAGTTTCTTCATTGATCCACTTCGGCAGTCTACTCCGTGCTCGAGTACGAATATTGCGGCCTGGATGGATGGACAGTCGATAGTCTGCGTATCTCTGGCAGCCATGGAGTCATGGACTCGGTCGTCTTGAAGGAGCAAGCAAGTGGCTGGTGGCTTTTCGCTTCGGACGGGGCAGAGGCTCTGCAAGGACGGATGGGACTGGACCTGACTGGTTGATGGGCAAATCGCCCGGATGGCGTCGTCGGTGCATGAGCAAGGTGACGGCTGCTGGGACCAAAACTCAATCGTCACACGTTACGCTGGCGTCGTTGAAGGCGTTTAATTAATCGATGCATCGGATCTAAACCAGTTGGGTTTGCGTGCATATGCATGCAAGACTCAGGTATGTCCCCTATGCAGATGCATCGAAACCCCATGAATGAATCTGCACGTACCTTGGGTACCTTTGTGCGGCATCACCCATTGTGCAAATGTGCACAAGCGCCTTGATTGCTTGGCAAGTTGGTACCTACTCGTACCGCGCCGTTGAACGTTGTCACCACCAGCTTGTGCCACCATGGGGTACCCACCTCGGTGGATTTCCAGATCCCCCAAATTCGTCCCCTTCAGTTAGCATCGGACCTTCACTCTCTTTAACAGAGTTTCTTCTTCAAAGAGCCCATTCTTTTGGCAAGTCCTCGAGTACCGTACCTCAAACGGTGGTCAATTTTAAGAACGCTCGACAGCCTGCTGCGCGTTCTCCAGCTCCAGCGTGAGTTCTCGGTTGCGCCGACGCACATAACAGGCTTAGCGCGAAGTGATATCATATCGTTCACGCGACACCGCCTCTGGCACCTTGACTCTTTGTTTGCTGGCGACTGTCCGCCCCGCTTACGTGCGGCCTACACCAGTTGACCCCAGAAATCTTGCGATGTCGCACACACTTCCGCTCCTGCCTCGACTGTCGTTTCTCCTCTACCTGCCACCACCACCACCACCACCACCTCCGCCTTGATATCCGTCCTCCGGCTCTGCCGATATTTCCATCCACTATCCTGTACATATTTCTTTGGTTTCCCAGGCACGTTCTTCATAATGCCACCTCCGAAGTCGTCACGGACTGCGGCCGACGATCACAAGACGGACACCACTGGTGGTCCCAAAGAGAAGGGGAGCGGACCAACCTCAGCCAAGATGCGTCGCGGAGCCAGCCAGTCCAGTGCATCACAGCTGCGAGAAGCACATGCAGAAAATACCCCTACTTCGGCACCTTTGCAAAGTGCTTCCGAACCACAGGCACCAACGGTAAGCTGCCTTTCGAAGCTTGCGGCTCTCCCACTTGCCTCTTCTACGCGGGCAATAGTCCCTGGAGACGCGGCACGCCCTTTTCCACGTCCTATACTGACTTGCGTGTGCTGTACAGATCAATTGGTCCTCTTTCGAACGCGATGCCCTCCATACCTACCGTCGCGAACATCAACTAAACACACCGGCTTCGTTCGCCAGCAAGTACCACCAATTGCTGCTTTCGCGACCGGGCAGCATCGGCCACTACTCCCCAACCATGACTCGGAGGCAACAAACGCGACGGCAGAGCAAAGACAGCTTGGCAAAAGCTGTGAGAAAGCACTTTAACGGCCTTGGCATCCAAGAAAATGACGTAGTAGTCGACTTCATATATAAAATCCGAAACGAAAAGATGGCCAGGGCGGGGGGTCCAAATAGACAACCTGGTATCATCTCAGACCATTGATGACTATAAATCAATTCCTCCATTTGAGCGTTGGTTGCTCCATGGTATGGCGTTTTGGGCGCAAGGGACGATATGAGCTAGAAGACTGGCTGTATTGCTGGCGTATAAGCGTCTGGGGCCGACTGGCATTGTATAAATCGGCTCCGGCAGGGCTCATGAAGATTTGCATATAGTAAGAGGCTGATGTAATGGTTATGTCCTTGCATTTTGCACTGATTGCGTGTTGAATTTGTCCTCTGTTTGGGCGAGCGACATCATATACCCTTTCGACATGCAAGTTACTCCGGCCGTGGTTACGTTTATAGTGAATTGACAAAGGCGGCCTGGGGTTCTTATTAAAACTAGATGGTGCAATTCAAAATACAAGTTGGGTGTACGTCGTCTATTCCTGATTTCAGGATGTGAAAGGAGCTCGTGCCTCGCGTTCAGGCCATTCTTCGTGAAGGTGAAATAGGGCAATATTGGGCTATTTGAGAAGCCCGACACAGGATGTTGCGAATGGAATGGATTGAAGTATGCCGATTATCGGATTTTGTGAACGAAAGCAGACGGTGGTGCCGCAACGAACCGAGCCGAGGATTGGAGCTGAGCTGTGACACAACTGACCCGGTCATTATGGGCCATGGCAGAGACACCAAATCCAGAAATCCTAGAGGTGGCGACTGTGTAGTGTAATCCTACGGTGCTACGAAACATTGTGTAATTGCGTAGACACGAAGTGCATTATTTTCCGTTCCCATTTTGACGCTAATAGGACCTGGGAGGAGAGTCTCTCGGTTGCTGGGGTTGGGTGCAGGGAAGCAAGAAGTCAACGGTCAAGTCCTAACCAAGACCCGTCATAGGTTAACCACTCGCAGTGATACAGCAAACAACACAACCACATATCGTCAAGGCGAAATGACACAAAGTGTGATACAATAGCAATACTGCCATCACTCAACTATGGACCGAGGTAGTCGGGCGAATTTTCGCCCCGCATCCTCCGTGAGCCGGATCCGATGGGCCCGGCATCCCATCTATCCCTATTCTTCTTGTCTCTGAAACATCAGGTTTTCGTTTCAGAGACAGGACACGCAATTAAGCATTGGCCCTCGGTGCGTGTCGATTCCTTGCGACTTGCGACTGTTTTGCAAATGCAAATGCAAACGGCGGCGCGGCATAGTTCCATCTGCAAAGCCGGACCCGTTGCCGGATTGGGCCGCGCAGTATATGTATAGAGAGTCTCCAAGACCAGCTGGGCTGTTGAGTATCATCAAGTAATACCCTTTTCTTATCTGAATTTCCTCAGTCATCACCAAATAATTCCTGCATTTTATACCCGGGAAAAGACTGTTTCATCCATGTCTCGACTCTGGCAAAGCATGGCCATTGGCAAGGCCGCCGTCCCTTTCGAGCCCGACAAGGATATCCCCTCTTTAGATGGCAAAGTCATTCTCATCACGGGTGGCAACAACGGGCTTGGAAAACAAGCTGTCTGCGAATACGTCAAACACAATCCCAAGCAGATCTGGCTCGCCGCGAGAAATGCGGCCGCTGCTCAGGCGGTAGTGGATGAGATACATCAATACAAGCCAGACTCGCCGATAGAAGTTCTCGAGCTAGACTTGTCTTCATTCGAATCCATTAGGCAAGCTTCAAAGAGGTTCCTTGCTGAGTCTGACCGACTAGACATTCTGATGTTGAACGCGGGCATCATGGCCGCGGCACCGGCTCTCACAGAGAACGGATATGAACTTCAGTTTGGTACGAACCACATGGGCCACGCGCTGCTTACCAAGTTCCTTCTTCCCATCTTGGAAAAGACTGCGTCAGAGCCCAGTGCTGATGTCCGGGTGGTATCTTTATCATCCAGAGCACACTTCCTAGCTCCAAAGGGAGGCATCGTATTTGAATCGCTCAAGACCAAAGCAGACGAGATGCAGGCATTTGGAAGATACGGGCAGAGCAAGCTGGCTAATGTGCTCTTTGCTCGGCAACTAGCGGCGCAATATCCCCAATTTACCGTCACTGCTATTCATCCCGGCGTCGTGAGAACAAACCTCATCAACGGCATGTCGGGCGCAGGGATCGCCAAGAGAGTCCTGGGACCCCTGGCAAGTTATTTTTTCACTCCGGTGAACCAGGGCGCCAAGAATCAGCTGTGGGCGTCTGTTGCGAAAAGTGTGAAGAGTGGAGAGTATTATGAGCCGGTTGGTGTGAGTGGGAAGTCGAGCAGGCTTGGAATTGATGAAGATTTGGCGAAGGAGTTGTGGGATTGGACTGCGCATGAACTTGAGGGGTGGCCATTGTAAAAAATGGTAAAAAGGCGTGTTTTGAAAGATTCAGAACTTGAGCGAACTTGGGCATACGTACTTCTCTACACTGCCTTTGTCTGTGAGCGTCTCAGATGATTCCCAGACATGGTGTTCACGGCGGTCGAGTTTCATGGCATGACCCCAAGGATGGTTTATTTGTGCGAGAGCCGCCCAAGGTACAGGTCAAGTCCGTCCAAGGTTTTGTGCGCGGATACTTTTGACCACATTATTCTATGATTAGCAGGAGATGCTCGATAAACTGATAAATTGATAATACGCGACAAGATTGAACCTCGGGCGTTGACTCCCGGCAGCCGCTGTGTTATAGCGGCTCTTCCATTGGTCGTACGCCGTCCAGCGGAAGACAGCGGGTCATGACGGCATTGTCGCCTCAGGCACCCCTGCTTTCGGCTTAAACCCGGTAGAAAAAGTTCCAGGGCCGACGCGCATTGAGTGCCTTCGAGAAGAATCTATTCCGGGTCAAGAAAACATCCGACCTGCCGCTGGTGAATTTGGTTTCATCTCCTGAGCTATCTGCAATTCTGATGAATTGTTGCAGCTCGGTAATGAATTCCAACCTTTTCACAAAGGCCGCCGCGCCTGCGCGAGTGATTGCGCATGCCAAGTTCGGTGGTCAACCAAAGATCCGACAATGCCTGAACAAGGGAGCAAAGCTTCATACAGCTGCTTTTCGCAGCAGTCCCCGTGAAACATGCACTCGGGTAAAGCGAAATATCATCCCATCAACCAAGAGAGTAAGTCAAATTTCTCTTCATGTCTTTCGTTCAGTTCAGGCTGGAACTATGAGCATAGTACTAACCTAACTTGCCGTAGCCCTTTCACAGCACTAATTCTCTGTCCCAAAAAGACCCTTACAAAGCTCTTGGCGTAAGCAAATCAGCGTCTGCCTCAGAAATCAAAAAGGCCTACTATGGCTTGGCCAAGAAATTTCATCCCGATACGAACAAGGACCCAAACGCGAAGGAGAAGTTTGCTGATATCCAATCAGCATATGAGATTCTGTCCGACCCCAAGAAGAAGGAACAGTATGATCAGTTTGGTGCCGCTGGCTTTGATCCCAACGGCGCACCAGGCGGAGACCCATTTGCAGGAGCTGGCAATCCGTTTTCTGGCTTTGGGGGGCAAGGTGGCTTCGGTGCGCAGGGTGGCTTTGGCGGAGGTTTCAACTTTGAGGACATCTTTTCGGCGTTTACTGGGCAGCAGGGTCCTTTTGGCGGTCGACGAGGCGCACGGTCGAATCCTTTCCAGCAAGAAATCCTTGTTGGCGATAACATCGAGGTGCAAGCCAGCATAACTTTCATGGAGGCCGCGAAGGGCACTAGTAAAACAATCAGCATTACCCCGTTGACGACTTGTGGGACGTGCACTGGTAGTGGACTGAAAGCCGGCACACAGCGCTCGCCTTGCAAGTCGTGTAACGGAACTGGCACTCGATTGCACTTTATGCAAGGCGGCTTCCAGATGGCTTCGACTTGTGGAACTTGCGAAGGCACGGGCACAACTATTCCAAAAGGCTCCGAGTGTCGAACTTGCTCCGGCAATGGTGTTGTTAGGGAACGCAAGACCATCACCATCGACATTCCTGCGGGTATTGAGGATGGCATGCGGTTGCGCGTGGACGGCGCCGGAGACGCCCCGCCAACGGGAAAGACTGCCGACCCGAACACCAGGATTCAGCGTGGAGACTTGTATGTTTTCGTTCGTGTGGCCAAGGACCCCAAATTCAGTCGCGAGGGCTCCAACATACTATATACCGCCAACATTCCTCTTACCACGGCCCTGTTAGGTGGCCAGGTCAACATCCCGACACTCGATGGCTCAGTTAATGTCAAGGTAGCCACGGGCACCAACACTGGCGACAAAATGACGCTCACTGGCATGGGTATGAAGAGATTGGGTGCCCGAAGAGGCGGAGCAGGTGATCTCAGGGTCGAGTTTCGAGTGAACATGCCCAAGTATCTCAGCGCAAACCAGCGAACCATTGTTGAGATGCTTGCCGATGAGATGGGCGACAAGACGGCTCGACGAGTGATGAATGTCTCGTCAGCATCAAAGTAAGCAAAACCCGAGGCATTTGTAACAAAAAGGGCCTGTGCTGACTACTGCGCAGCAACGACGCATCAAACCCAGATTCACATAAGAACGAAGGGTTTCTAAAGTCCATGTGGCACACACTCACAAACCACCCAGCACATCAAAAAGAAGGTGAAGAAAAGTCGAGCGCCGACAAGTCTGATGCAAAGAAGGACTCCAAATCCGACAACAAGGATAACAAGCCAAAGGACGAGCCTAAAAAGTCGGATTCTGGACCAGCCTAAACTATGTAACAACTATTTTCACATATTACCGCCTGTAACCATAACACCCAAAGAAACAGAGGAGGATAAACCTGGATAGAATAGGAGAGTGCATGTGAAGGTGTTTAAAAAAGAAAACTTGCAATTCAGCAAGCGGCGTTTCTGGAGGGCTGGGGGCCAATACCTCTTGTTGATTTTGGCATTTGTCCGGATCTTGTATTCTAGATAATGTAGAAAAGACTATGTTTTCCAATGACAAATCTCCTCATATCAAGCTCGGTCTTTGCCAGCTGTGCATACTAGCCGATGAGTTGCAATTTATGCTTTGGCAACCATCTGTAGCCACATCTACAGATCAATTTAGTTCGCCCAAAGTCACGTACTCTTTGGTGTGATATCGTATCTCGACATCGAGAGTGCGTAAACTGGTTTGGTTAGAGGTATGCCAGCCAGTAGAACAAAACGAACTCACAAATGAATAATAATTCGGTATGCACAAGAGCAAACAATAAAAGTTTTTCGACAAAAAAAAGAAAGAATACAGCCAGTTTATCATCAAAATCGTAAAGAGTTCTGCCTCTGTCTTCAACGCCTCCAATCAACCTATAGGCTTCAGCTTCTTCTTTTTCTTCTTCTCCCCATCGCCCCCAGACTTGCCCTTCTGGAAATTTCTCCAACTGCTGATGCGCTCATCTCTTGTCGACTCCCATTCCTGTTCATGCTGCCTCTTGCGCTTCCTTTCTTCCAACTCGGCGTCCTGCTTACGCTGCTCGCGACCTTCCTCTTGCATTTGCGCCCTCATCTGCCGCCGGCGACGGTGCTCGTTGTCAATCAAGACCTCTTTGGACTTTTCGCGCCACTTTTTGGCGAAGTCGTCGGTCTTTAGTTCGGGGCTGTCCACTGTCCACTTGTTTTCGCGGATGAGGAGCATTCGCGCGTCGGCAATGGCTTCGTCTAGTCTCTCCCGGTGCTTCTCATCCATGAGTTCTGTTTGGGCTTTCTTCAGACGGTCGAATGCATCCGGGGCCTGTGGGTTCTTCGTTTTATCAGGATGGATGAGCATGGACTTTTTGCGATAGGTGCTTTTGATATCGGACTCTGCAACGCCGGGCTGGAGATCCAGGACTGCGTAACTGGGCCAGTGTCAGGTCCTGGTAAGCTGATCAGTGAACGGGATATGGTTCTGCTTACGCATCTAATCGGAAGGCTCTTAGGATTCGGTCAATCTCGGCATCCTATGAGCAATGGTCAGCGGTCACGTTTTAGTCTGTATGTAGCTGAGGAAGCAGGCATGCCTTGTCAAATTCCTTAGCCTCCAACTCGAGGGCGGAAAGCTCAGCTGCGTCATCTTTGGAGTCGTCGGCAGCCATTACGGTCATGGGATGGCTGTGAAGGCGAGCAAAGCAGCAAGTCCCGGAGTTCAATTTCAATTGCAAGTAAATATTGGCGGCGTCGGTACGAATCGATGTTGATCTCACGCGACTTCGGGGCGGCAAGGGAATGAATGAATGGTAAGTAGCTCCTGCAGCGTGACCCACTTGCTTGCCTGCCCCGCGGCGATAAGATAACTAACAGGCCTGCCCCAGAAGAAAAAAATCCCTGGCTGTCGGTGTTTGACGACGAGAGAGTTCCAGGTCGATTTCTTGATCGCTCCGGTGCAGATTTCAACCCAGATTCACCGCAGTCTCTCCCTCCAGGCGGCCATGCCTCGACGTGCAGCTTCGCCGGCGGCCTCAGAGCCCGAGCTAGACATTCTCGACTCATTATACCCCGGAGAAGATGCCGACAGCAATCAGAATTTGCCTTCAGACAAGGACGTTGACTTTGACGATATTTTGAACGACCCTGAGGGGGCTGAAGATGGCGGCGATGAGGCCTTTATTGCCCTTCAGCAAGCGGCCTCTTACCGCAAGGCTTCTAACCTAAAAGGCAGAACAGTCAAGAAAGGAGGCGGTTTTCAAGCCATGGGTAAGAGACCGAAGTGACAATTTTTGAATCATTTTGAATACAGATGCTAACAAAGCTCTAGGCCTGAACTCGAATCTGTTGAAGGCAATTGCGCGAAAAGGATTCTCTGTCCCCACGCCTATTCAAAGAAAAACAATACCTCTTGTACTTGACAGAAAAGATGTAGTCGGCATGGCGAGAACTGGTTCCGGAAAGACAGGTGCTTTTGTTATTCCCATGATTGAGAAACTGCGCGCCCATAGTGGGCGCTTCGGAAGCAGGGCTCTCATTTTGTCTCCGTCACGAGAATTGGCTATACAGACACTCAAGGTTGTCAAGGAATTTGCGAGGGGCACCGACCTAAAGGCTGTTCTGCTAGTCGGTGGTGATAGCTTGGAAGAGCAATTTGGCTATATGGCGGCAAACCCTGATATCGTTATTGCTACTCCTGGTCGATTCTTGCACTTGAAGGTTGAGATGTCTTTGGATCTCTCATCAATAAAGTACGTTGTTTTCGATGAAGCTGATCGACTGTTTGAAATGGGTTTCGCAACCCAGCTTACGGAAATTTTGCACGCTCTGCCGCCATCCCGACAAACGTTGCTGTTCTCCGCCACCCTCCCCGCTTCACTAGTTGAGTTTGCCAGAGCCGGTCTGCAGGATCCTAGCCTGGTACGACTAGACGCAGAGACAAAGGTCTCACCTGATTTGGAGAGCGCATTCTTCTCTGTCAAAGGTGCAGAGAAAGAGGGTGCTTTGCTACATATTCTTCACGACGTCATCAAAATGCCCATGGGCGCTCCCGAGAACGCAAAGCAGGACAGCGAAAAAGGGTCCAAGAAGCGCAAGAGAGGTGAAAGTGGCAGTGGCAGTGGCAAGCCTACGGAACACTCAACTATTATCTTCACTGCCACAAAACATCATGTCGAATACCTCGCGAGTGTTCTCCAGCGGGCTGGATTCTCCGTCTCACATGTATATGGTTCACTCGACCAAACTGCTCGGAGAAACCAGGTTGAAGACTTCCGACGAGGCAAGACGAACATTCTAGTCGTCACTGATGTGGCAGCCAGAGGTATCGATATCCCTGTCCTAGCCAACGTTATCAATTACGACTTCCCATCGCAGCCGAAAATCTTTGTCCACAGAGTTGGTCGAACGGCCCGTGCTGGCCAAAGAGGCTGGAGTTACAGTTTAGTCAGAGATTCGGACGCCCCATACCTCCTGGACCTGCAGCTGTTCTTGGGCAGGAGGCTGGTTCTCGGTCGAGAGGGCGACGAGCCCTCATTTGCATCCGACGTGGTTGTGGGGTCCCTGAGACGAGATTCAGTGGAATCAAACGTTGAATGGATGAACAAGCTTCTCCGTGAGGATGTGGACGTTGGTACGCTACGGGGTGTCGCCGCCAAAGCTGAAAAGCTGTACCTCAAAACACGAAACTCAGCATCTAGTCAAAGCGCCAAGCGTTCAAGAGAAATCGTATCATCAACCGGATGGAATCAGCTTCACAGACTGTTCGGCAATGACGTTGACAACATGGAACAAGCCCGCGCAGACATGCTCGCCCGCATCAGCGGCTTCAGACCCCAAGAAACAATTTTCGAAATCAGTCACACCGACAAATCGCACTCGGAAGCAGCAGAAGTCATGAAACAGCTTCGAAAGAAGATAACCCCCAAGAACAGACAAGCTCAAAAGCAAGAAAGCGACATTGAAGACGATGACATGCCCACCAAATCCAACGGCAGTAAAATGGACATGGACTCCGACCAAGAAGCCTCCGACAATGGATCACAGGGAGCAGACCAAACCAGCGGCTGGGACGAAGACGAACTAGAGGTCACCGTCTCTAACACAGACTCTAAAAGGGGCAAGACTGACTGGCGCGACTCCGAAGTTTTCATGAGTTACACCCCACGCACTCACAACGTTGCCGAAGAGCGCGGCTACGGCGTCCACTCGGGCGGTTTCGTCGAAGCAGCCCGCGACGCGACGATGGACCTGACCAATGACGAGACGGCCAAATCGTTCGGACAGCCGTCACGCTCCAAGATGCGCTGGGACACCAAGTCCAAGAAGTACGTGTCGCGTGACAACGACGAGGACGGGTCCAAGGGCAGCAAGATGATTACGGGAGAGTCGGGCGTCAAGATTGCCGCCACGTTCCAATCGGGACGGTACGATAAGTGGAAGAAGGCGCAGAGATTACGATCCCTGCCGAGGGTAGGAGAAGCCGAGAAGCCGGGTGCCACGCAGGGATTGCCGAGCGGCGTGCGGTATAAGCATAAGCTGGACAAGGCGCCCAAGGAGGCAGACAAGTACAGGGATGACTTTAGGGTGCGAAAGAAGAGAGTCGACGAGGCTAGAGAAAAGAGACAGGGTAGATTTAGGGATGGAATGGGTAGTAAGAAGGAACTCAAGGGGGCAGTTGATATTCGCAAAGAGAGACAGGAGAAGGAGCGGAAGAGGGCCAAGAATGCTAGACCGTCAAAGAAGAGGTAGCCATTTCTGTCCATCATATTGGACGAAGCATTGCCATTACATAATATAGCGAGCTTGTTTTTCACATGTCACAAATTGTCTTGTTACATAGCATGCTTGTGCGAGTAGGAGAGCTAGGGCATCCGTCTACTATAGGTTCATATTCATTGTATCAGAAAAGTTGCCACTACTAAGGAGAGAAACAGTAACTTATGGACAGTGGACTAATCCTGAACTGCCAGTTTCCTCAAGACGCCGTCGCTTCAAAAAAAAAAAAAAAAGAAGCGTTTATAATA